AGACAGGTGCAGTCAGAGAGCTCATTTCAACCTCCCTTCCCGCTCAGTGGCTGGCAGTGGCCACTCCAGGGGAGACCACAGCTGGGACACGGAGGCCAGGAGCTCAGGGGCCTCATCTCTCAGTGTCTCGCCACGCCCACCAGAGGCCTGCAGGCTGTGGGTGCCCCTTCAGTGTGGGTGAAGCACCCGCTTGGGAGGTGGGACAGGGCCCACCACTAGTGCCCTTGTGACCTCGGGCAAGTCGTGGGCCCTCCCTGGCCCTCGGTTTGCCCCTGTAGGTCAGGGCCAATGCCCCCGTGTGCTCATTGCCTCTGGCCTGGAGTGTGAGTGTGCACGTGTGTGCTCGCGTGGGGGGGTCTTTGGGACACATCAATCACTGGGCCGTGACATAGGGACTCGGTGTCCTCTCCTGCCCTCCCTTGGGAACCACAGGCCAAGACCGTCCAAAGAGTGGAGGCTCTGCTTGGACCCCTTATTGGACCCCTTATGATCCCAGGCTTTAGGGTGGACCATGGTCCCCAAATTCCATATTCCACATGGGCCTTGTTGTTCCATACTCCCGCTGACTAATTCTTAGGAAAATCAGATCTCTGGATCCCTAGAAAGTCAGTGCTGAAAGAGATCAAGTTCAACTGCTTGATTTAATGGGAGGGAAACTGAGGCTGGGGTAGGGAAGATTAGTCCAAAGCCACATTAGCCAGACTCGAGAATGGACCTGGACATAACCTTGGACTAAACATTGGACCTGGATCCTGAACATTGACCTGGACCTGATTCCAGATGTTGAAACTTGAACTTAGACATGGATTTGTTCTGAATCTTGGACTGGACCTATAATTTCAGACGCTGACCCTGGACCTAGACCGTAGACCCAGTCCTAGACCTGGGGTGGGGTATGGACGTTGGGTGTGGACATGGGACCTGGACCTCAGCTCTGGACCTCGATGTTGGACCAGACGGTGGGCTAGACATTGGACCTGGATTTCCAACATGTCTCTAATCTGGACCGTGGACCCAGATCAAGACCGAGATGCCAGGGAAAGTCATGGTTAAAGAAGACTCAGAGGGGCCTGCTGTGTGTCACTGGGCACTTCCCCAACCTTCTCTGTGCCCCACCGCCACAGAACTGGGGCAGCCCTTTTGGATCCTTGCTCCCCAGATGGACTTTCTGAGGTGTGGGGTGGATGGGCTGAGGCCTTCCAGTCAGGCTCCGGGGCCTGGCCCAGAGCGACTCCCTGGCGCCGTCAGAGGAGTGAGAGGAAGTGGGCACTGGTGTGATGTGTCAACCAGAGAAGCCCTCGGGCAGAAGTAGGAGTGCTTCCTCGGCCTGCTAGTGAGGAGACTTAATGTAGCGGTGGAGGGCAGACAACTGCGTTATTGGATTGGCATTGATCCCTCATCTGCTCGGGTCGAATGCACTCTGAAAGAGCAGGAGGGCAGGACCAACAAGGGGTGCAGAGGCAGGGGGACCTGGGGCCCAGCTGGGGTTCACAGATAAGGTATGAAGAAGGTAGACACTCAGCTGGGGTCCAGAGAGACCACCGCTGTGCAGAGGGGTGGGCAGCAGTCTTCTCTGGGATGGTGAGCATCCACGGTATTCTGCCCACCCCCTAAGGGAGCCCGGGCCTGTGAAGGGGGCACTTGGTGGAATTGGAGGGCTAGTTTCTGAAAGGGTTAGGAGGATGTGAGCTGGCATCTCACCCACAGACTGAATCTGTGCTCAGAATCACCCAGGAGAGAGGAGGGGAAGGGAAGCTCCAAGGAGGCAGAAAACAGTGGAGGAGGGAGGGGGTCAGGGGGAGGAGAAAAGAGGCCACGTATTGGAGAGGATGGTGAAATTAGATCTCTGTCTTCCTTCTTTGGGGAGCTCTGCGGAGCTTTCCCCGTTTGGGGGCTGCCCCTCCCCTATTTATGGGCTCTGTGGTTTGGGGGGAGCCCGGAGGCCAGACACACCTGCTGCATCCTCTGCCCAGCCCATGGAAGCTGAAAAGGAGCGGCGTAGGGAAGCGAAGAAGAGCGCTGCTGTGTGTGTGTGTGTGTGTGTGTGTGTGTGTGTGTGTGTGTGTGTAGGAGTCCTCCAGGAATTCTCCAGCACTCCCAGGCATTCCCTGAGCTGGGGGTACACCTCTTTCATATGGGGTCTTGCATCTTCATCAGTTAGGAGCCTTTGATTCCCTTGACCTGCACCTGCACAGGCTGCCCCCTGCCTCCCCCACCCCCGCCCCACACACTCCCCTCCCACCATCCTTCTGACCCTGCAGCCCTTGCTGCAGGAACGGCTGGTAAGAGGATCGTTCTAATAACTGGAACTATCTCCAGCCCCAGGCCCTCCCTCTCTCCCTCCATCCTCCTCCCTCCCTCCTCTCCTCCCTCCCTCTCCTCACCTCCCCCCTCCTCTCTTTCTCCTTGTTTACCCAGCACACTTACACACGCTGGGAGAGAAAAAACGTCAGCTCAGCAATTTTTCACACTTCCCTCAAACGCTCAGCAAGGTTATTTCCGGCAGAGCAGACAACGGACCACTGGGAGCTGGCAGGCTCTCTGAGGACCCCAGCACCCCTGCCAACCCTGGAGTGAGGGAGCCCCAAGCTGCCCAGTCCAGCCACACCCCAGGGATGAGAGAGGCCCCTGAAAAAGGATAAGGCAGACCCTGTGTTTCCTGGTCATACCCAGCCTGAAGGGTCACTGCTTGGTCTCTGGCACCGACCGGCTACTGCAGACAGGGCCAAGGCAGCCGGGCCAGGGTGCCTGTCTTCACCACGGAGCAGCCTGCAAAGACTGAGGCCAAGAAAAATGCTGGGTCTTAGAAACTCTGCCACCCTCAGCCAGGCATTGGTTGGTAAATAGAGCCCTACAAAAACCCTGACAATGGCCCCCATGCATTCTTTTAGACCCTCATGCAGGCATCTCCAGGGCCTCCCACATTACACTTGACCTTCAGAGAAACGGAGATTGTCAGAGTTGGAAAGATACTCAGTTCATGCTATGCAAACTCTTTTACTGCTGGGGAGACAGAGGGCCAGAGGATGGAAGGCGGTTGCCCAAGGTCACACAGCAAGCTGGAGATCTAGAGCCCAGGCCTCCCAGAGTTTCAGGCCAGGGGTCAGACTGCGGGGACAGTTTTGGGATTCCCCTGTGGTCAGGGAGCTGGTCTGGAGCCCTTTGGGGAAAGGGCCAAAGATAAGGGTGGTTCTAGGGTGTCCAGTCTGGTAGAACCTCCACAGGAACAGCTCTGCTGACGGCTCTGCCTAATCCTGCCCCCACCATTCACTCAGGGGCTCCTTCTGAAGCCTTTTTGGACCGAATTCAAGGAGAGGCGCTCCTGCTCTCCCCCTGAGGAGCAGCCTGCAGTTTCAGCTGTGCGTGGGGAAAGTCTCTGGGCTTCTCTGGGTTTCCTCAGCTGGCCTGGGGCAAAACTGTGGGCGCCTCGAGGAGGGGTGGGAGCCCCAGGCTTCTGTCAGTCCCCTAAGGGATCCCCATTGCAGTGTGGCACACATTTCAGTTTCTGCCCAGCCCCCAGCATGCACTCCCCAGCCCTGGCACAGCCCCAGGTCCACCCTCTGTCCTGCCAGCACTCAGCCAAGCCCAGCCATGTCCCTGAGCTGCTGTCCTGGACCCCAAGAGGCCCTGGGATCAAGGAAAGAGGGCAGTAGAATAAGGAGCATGTGGGCAACAAGAAAGGGGGTTGGTTCTCTCTGCTGTGTGGGTGAGCCAGGGGCTGAGGGGCCACAGCTGTATTTCTGATCGCTCCCTAATTTCTTTGACCTTGATGAGGTCACAGAGCCCTTTGCCCAGCGCCCTCTTGCTACCTGGCTTGGCAGAGTGATGGAATGTGGGCGAAGTGCTTGGAAATCCCCGAAGCGGGAGCGCCCACTCTCCTGGGCTCCTGCCTTTGCCAGGCCAGCTTCCCCTTCATCCTTGGCCCTTTCTCCTCTCCTCTCCTCTCTCCTCTTTCTCTCTCCTCTTTTCTCTTCCCTTCTCTCTCTCTCTCTCTCTCTCTCTCACACACACACACACACACACACACACGCACCCCCCAAAGCTGATGCCACATGTGATGTCAGATTTCTTATTGCCAAAAGAATGCCTCCTCTCCGGACACCCGCCCGATGGGGGCTGAGAACGCTTTTGGGACGCCTTCGATGGGTCTGCAGAAGCAGTCGGCGGCTCTCCACACCCTCCGGCATCACCCTGTTCTGGGCCTGAATGACCTCTCTTGCCCCCCAAACCCCTGTCCCTGCGGGAACTTGCTCTGAGAAGAGATGGAGTGTGTCAGGGGTGGGGGACTTAGAAGGAGCAGCAGGGCTGGTTCTGGAGGCAGGTGAGAAGCTGGAGTGGGGAGGGATTGCAGCCCAGGGGACCAGGAGTCACTTTTGGGGAACCCCTCCTAGAAATCTCCTGCTCTTCAGGGTCCCCAGGACAGGCCCAGCCTTTGGCAGGCATGTGGCTGAGGGTAACAAAAGAGTTGCCGAGAGAGGGGCCCTGAGAACACTTGTCAGGCATCGCCAGGGGGAGCAGGGTGGAAGGGAAGGAGGGCGTCCCAGCTACCCCTGGGAGCCAGCCCCCATCCCCCCAGAGATTGGTAGTCTGGGTCCGTGCACCTTCCCCACCAGGGGAGCACACTTGGGTAGCCGGTTCCTTCACACGGCCAGGGGGAGGGGACCCTCGGACTGCCTTGTGCGTTAGCCTCCCCAGCATTAGCCCTTCACGGGCGCCCTTCTATCTCCTTTCTCTCACCACACCTCACTCTAGCCCCGTTCTGGGGCCTCAACTTTCAGAGTCCGATCTGGCGCGTGGCTTCGGAATGGGCCGACCCCGCGACTTTCCCTTTGTAGGGACCTAGCCCCTGCCCCGCCCGCCGGGCCCTCCGGAAGCCCGGGAGGCGCGCGCTGCCAGGGAAGTCTCCTCTCGGGGCTCTCCGCCGGCGCACCCCTCCTCGGAGCCCGAGTTGGTGAGGGCCCGAACCCCCTCCCCTCCACCCCCGCGCCGGTCCCACTCACCGTTGTCCCCCGGCGGCCCTCGGGCGCCAGGCAGCACGTAGGCGGTCTCCAAAGGGTGATAAGTGGGGGCTGGCACCCCGCTGCACTGGAAGCCATCCCCTTTGATCTTCTTTACCAGGAAGGAGCGCGGCATGTTGCGACTGGCGCGGGGCTCGGCGGTGGCACTTGCGTGGGGCCCCGGTGGGGGGAGGCGGCCAGCGGGGCGCGATTGGCTGTCTGCGCGGGGTTTCAGCACTGGACAGCTCCCAGCGGGCGGGCGGGCGGGCGGACAGCAGCGCCGAGCCGGCCCCAGTGGCAGCCGCCCGGCTCGGGCTTGGCGGCGGCGGCGGCGCGCAGACAGGCGATCGCTGGAGCTGTGCTCAGCACTCCGGCTGCCGGCTTTATATGGGACGCAAGCTGGAGGAGATCAGGTGGTCCCCTAGCAATGGAACTGTTCAGCGCTCTAATCCATCAAATGTCCCCCAGGACAATCGCTCCGCACACGTTCCCCTGAACCGGCGGCGGTGGGGGCAGGCCAGGCGCAGGGAGCAGCGGGCAGGCAGGAGGGGAGAAAGTGAGGGCGAGAAAGGCGCGGGGACAGAGAGAGAGGAGTGTGTACGGGGTGGGGGGGAAGAGAGAGAGGATGGAGGGGGCATCCGCGGAGAAAGACAGAAAGAGACATGCAGAGAAAGAGAGACACGCGCCGAAGAGGTAGCAATAGAAGCAGAGAGACCAAGATGAGGACAGAGAGACACAAGAGAAACGGAAGGACGGAGATGGAGCGAAGTAGCACCATACACTCACACACCCGCGGGAGACAGAGAGAGACCCAGACACACAGAAAGCCCTCCAGCGTCGCAAAGAAAGGAAAAGTGCGCGAGGGGGGCAGAAGCCCAGGGGAGGGGAGGGAGAGCCGACCAAGCCGGTGGGGTCCAGGCACATGGGGACACAGAGGACGGGTGCAGAGAAAAAAAAGTGTCAGTCGCCAGTGGTGACCTTCCTGCCTCCGGTCCTCTCCCTCGCCCTCAATTCTGAAGTGGCCGATGTGGACACTCGGCTTTGAGTAGGGGAAGTCGTCCCCCCACGCCAGCTCAGCTCCCCACTGGGAAGCCTCCTACTGCGTTTGGGGTTCAACTTTCTTTTCCCAGACTGGTGGGGGGGAGCCACTCCTCCATGCCGGCGCCTGCCCCGCTCAGCCGGTCCTGTTCCGGTGCCTCGCTCAGGCGGGCGCTGCCAGAGGAAGTGAAAATCGCCCAGTAATTAATTTCCCTGCTGCTGGGGTGGGGGGTGGTTTTGACACATCCGAGGCTGTGTCTTTCCCTGAAGCGGGAGCAGACAATAGAGACACGTGGACTGGGAAGGGAGGGGGGGAGGGAGGGGGAGCGGGGCTCCTGCTGGAACTCTTTGCAGGTCAGCTTCTTTGTCTCCTGGAGAATCCGAGCAGAACCCACCCCCCCCACAACCCAATCGGGCCAAAACCTGAGGGAGCTCCCACATCTTGGCAGGACTGAGGAGCAGGAGAACTCAGCCCCCAGCCCAGAAGCTGCTGGGCAAAGTGCCGTGGTGGGGGGCTGGCCTCGGCAGTATGGGATGGCCAGTACACAGGAGTCCCAGAATCAGACGCTAGGAATGCCAAGATCTCATTGGTCAACAGTGTTCTGTTTACGGGACGCAAAGCTGAGGAAGCAAGGATGTGCTTTTGGGACTGGGTCATCCCATAGCAGTTGGGAGACTCAGACACGGAGAGGCCCTGGAGGTGCCCATGGTCCCACAATGAGTCAGCAGAAATTTCTAGAGACCCCTGTGGTCTGTGGGCATCACTGAGTTAGGGGCTCACACAGTCTTTGAAAGATGGTCGAGAAACCTCAGGGTAAAAGTGGGGTCCCTGACCTTGCCAAGACCCTGTGTGGTCTGAGGGACCCTGCCCATTTTCCCAGCCATTTCACCTCATCTGTTGTCTGCTGGGACGTTTTTTAACCTCAGTCAGTGCCGGTTGAGGTGACCACACCCCCCGACTCAGAGCACACTTTATGTTCCCTACTCCAGCCACGTGGTCTTCCTTCTGGTCCCTTGGGTTTTCTGCTTCTCTCCTTTGCCTGTTGGCCTCTGTTCTGTTCAGATTGCCCTTCTCCCCACTTCACCCCAGCACACCCCGACATGTCTTCAGGATGTAGCAGAGGCACCACTTCCCCCGGGAGGGGGCGTTGACTACCACACCGTGGACGAGGCCAGAGTGCCCCTCAGCCCCTGAGCTTCGAGAGGACAGGGCCGCTGTCCCATGTTGGTTCAGCACATCCTTGCAGTGTGTAGTACGGTGTCTCGGTTCCCCTGCATGATAGCCATGGGACCTTGGACAAATTGCTCAACTGCCCCGTGCCTCAGTTTCCCCATTTACAAAACATTACTAATGTCACTCTCTCAGGGGTCGGTGGAAGTATTACAGAATTGCTCTGTATAAAAGTCTTGGCACAGTGCCTGGCATACAGTAGGTGCTCAATTCATGTGGGTTCTATACGTGCAGTTGTGCCTGGAGCACCTGGGATTCATCTCTCACATGTTTGTGGGGGGGAGTGTGGAATAAGTGGGGACTTAGATAGTCCTTGTCCCTGCTCTCTTGGAGGTGACATTCAGTGATCACTGAACAAGGGAACACTGAAGTCAATCTCCTTTCAAATACTTGTTTAGTGCTGTTACAAATATAAAACCAAGTGGGTGATCGAAGGTGGCAGTACCTTTATACAGGGTAATCAGGGTGTCCTGGAAGAGGTGACATCGGAGCAGAGACTTGAGTGTTGAGATGGAACCAGCCGTGGGAGGAGGCAAGGAAAGAGTGCTCCCGGCAGAGGCTCCGTGAATTCAAAGGCTCTAAGACAGGAATGGGCTTGGGCCATAGAGGCAGTTGTTGATAGTTATTCGTGGTGCACTCACATTTTGGAGTTTGGGATGTGAGGTCTCTGTCCTCAGGGGGTGCCTCAGTTGGGTGAATCAGAGAGGTGGGTGCCTGTGAGCTCACCTCTGCCTGCCTGGTGGTTCTCCTGGGCCAGCCCGCCTTCAAAGAGATGGTAAAGCAGAGCCCAGAGGGCTTCACAAGACACGGAGGATCCGTGGTGACTTGGGGACAAGGCTGGAGCACGACTCTCCCTCACCAGAGCTTTTCACTGGACAGGATGGAGAGGTAACACACCCCTGCACTGACAGGCAGAGGCCCCAGAAGTGATGGATCCAAGGGGTGCCCTGAGGTGCCAGGTTGTGGGTGACATCCTAGGTCTTTGCCCTCCAGTTGGAAGGTGGTGTGGGCAGCTTTAGCAGATAAGAAGAAATCATCAGCCCAGAAGGTGAGGTTCAAAAATACCTGTGGAGCGGGAGGAGGCCTTCAGCATGGACGGAATGCACAGTGGCCGGCGCGGTTTCATCACTAGGACATGGAGAAGGGCGTTATGTTCCCAAGCCTTCTCTGACACCGGCTTCCTGGTTCCAGAACGTTTACTGTTAGGCCTTTATCTCTTTCTCCAAGTCACAACAAATCAAGTCCCCAAGCTGGAGGAGATGGGAGGGGGTTGTGAAGAAGACCTCTGCAGGATGGAATAGCCTGCGGCCGTTAAGAATTATATATGGGGAAGCTCCTGGGATCATGTGAAGTGAGGCCTGCAGGCTCCAGAAATCGCTCACAGCACGTTAACAATTATGAACCAAAATAAAAAATAAACATGCGCGGAAAAGTGGAAGGAGGGTGGTAGGACGATAGGGCTTTTCTCCCCTTCTTTTTGTGTTTTCCAAAAAGACCATAAAATGTTTTGGTTCATCAAGAACTTGTCTCAAGCACCTGCCAACTACTCCCTTAATTCTTAAGGGAAGAAAGGGTGAGGTTTTGTAAAACGTGTCAGGGTGCTGGTTCTTCTGACTTTGGGGCTGATGGCACTGCTGGTGGCAAATTTCCCCGACAGCAACAGTGGTTATTATTATGTCAACAGCAGCAGTACTGAGCAGCTCCACGTGCCTGGCGCTGTGCTGAACATTCGGCCTGCACAGAAGCGGCTTCGCCAGGAGTTTCAGACAGAGGGGTTTGGCAACAGCCGTGTTCACTTCCAGGCCATGTTCTGCCATTTCCCAGCTGTGGGTCTCAGCGCCCCCATTTTCTCATCTGGAAAACGGGGGTGTTTAGGGGGCCTGTCTCACAACATTGCAGTGATGATTAAATGCACCTGGAAAGCTTGCCTTGGCCATTGTTGACTATTTTCATTTACATATCTTCTCTTATCTAAACCCCGCAGTGGCCTCACGGGAGAAGGCTCTATTATTGGCCCATCCAATAGATGGGGGTAAAATGACGGTTCCGAGGCTTTGTAGTTGCAGTTCCGGAGGAGTTGGGGGGGTCCTACTGCCTGTCTTCCCAGGAGCAGGGCCTGGCATAATAGGCCTAGCTGGCTGGGGCTGTTGGCTCGGCCCCCCTCACGCTACCTTGTTTGCTCCCATAGCTTCCAGATTTTAACCTGCTCTGCCCATCAAGAAGAGTAGCTACTAGGGCATGAATTTCAGTGTCCCGTGACCCCAGCGGCTGGCAGAGCCTCCCCCTCTGCATGTCTGTAAAGAGGGCCTGAGGTGCCGCGTTTGCAGGCTTCACCCGTGGTGTTCGGAAGAACTGCCCTGGCAGTCGGGAGCCCGATTCCAGCCCGGGCTCTCCTCCCTGTGCGTCTCCTTCTGGCTCCAGCTTTCTCATCTGTCCAATGGGTACGGGACGAGATGGTCCCTGAGCTGTTGTCCACGGCCGGTAATTGAATTCTGTATGAATTCCAAGGAGGAGAGTGGCTACAAATGCATCCTCTCCACGCTGATGGCGCTCTTTCTCTGGCGAGCGTCACTTTCTCTGCCCTGTTTCTCCAGTGTTGTTTTTCTCCCTCCTCAGAGCTGATGGGAGGTGGGTAGAAGGAAGGGGAAACGAGCGGCTTCACAGCCCTGCACGCCAAGACTCACAGAGACGCCCTGCCCGAGGGATGCGGTGGGCCTCCTGGAATCTCATAGATGCTGTGTTCTCCTTTGGGTCACTTTGGTCCTCTGGGAAGCAGATGTGCCGATGGAGGTGGAAGTACAAAAGATCTATTGCAGATAACCCCTGTGAAGGGCGAGGAGCGCCTCCGGCCCAGGGCGCGCAGGTCGCCAGGTCAGACACAGGTCGGACGCCTGTGGTAGGAGAGGTGGGAGAAAGGAAGATTGGGTAAGAGGAGCCACGGGCAGGGGTGCAGCTCT